GTGGTTAAGAGCACTGACTGTTCTTGCAGAAAACCTGGGTTAGAGTCCCAGCACCCACGTGGCAGCTAACAACCATCCGTAACTTCAGTTCCAGGGGATCCGACGCCCTTTTCTGTCTTCTGCGGGTATTGTACAACTTGGACGCACTTTGTCTATGCGTCCTGCTTGGTATTACACTATTTATACACTTTAATTCTCTTATTTGCCAGATTCCCTATATCCTTGAAAAGTCTAACATGTTGAACAATCCAGGTCTTTTAGTGCACTGGTGTAACAAAGAGGAAGAAAAGCAAAAGAATAAAACAATTTCTTCTTTATAATTTCAGTAGGGTCATGTACACCAATGTTTTTCAGGGCAACAAGCAATTTAAAAGTAAATAACAGAAACATATCAAAGAAACTTTAAACTCAGTATTTTCACATAGGCTATTTTGAAAGTATTTTTTCTTAAATAAAGGGATACAAGTCCAAATGTAAGCATTCACAACCAAACACTTATTTAGACTAGAACACCAAATACCACTATAACAAAGTAGCATGATTCAAACCAGCAAAACAGAGAATATTTCTTTTCAGCTTTTATCTATGTTGGTTTCAACGCCCATTTGCTTCATTAAAGGGTATAAAAATTGTCAATGGAGTCACTTATGTCAAACCTAAGCAAAATGAAGCTGAAGCCCATGAAGGATGAGTCCTTATGCATGTCTAATTAGAAGAACCATTACAAGGTGTCTGTGAAACCACAAAAATTCCAGATTACTCACTCATGTGTGTGAGTAGTGTGTCTGGATGGGGACTGAACCCAAGTCCTAGTGTAAGGCTAGGCAAAGCACCCTACCATTGAGCCATACTAGTACCTACCCCCGCCCAAGTTTCCAAATTAGTCAGTTCCTATAAAGTAATCACCAACTCCTGCAGTACTTTTTGTAGCTAGTAAGGTAAAACAGCTCACGTGAACTTGTCTGTCTTGATGTGTACGTGTGTTTGCTTGTCTGTATGTGCAGGTGCCCAAGGAGGTGAGAAGGCATTGGATTCCCTGGATCTAGAGTTACAGGTAGTTGTGAGCATCAGATGAGAGCGCTGGGAATTGAACTTGGGTCCTCTGCAAGAGTAGTATATGCTCTTATCTGCTGAGCCATTTCTCTAGCATATATATACATACATACAAGTATACATATATGAATGACATGATTTATATATATAAAACATGATTTTCATTCTGTTAAGTGAAGCTCAAGCAACCTTGCTGAGTGTAGTGGTGCAGGCCTATAATCTCAGCATTCGGGAGGTGGGTATGGAGATCAAGAAGTTCATGGTCATCCTATCTCAAACTCAAGCTTGCTATGCCTTAGATCATTATTCTAAAAACTATTCAATGCCTCCACATTAAGAGACACAGTGAATATAGAGAGCTGTCACTAATATCACAAAGTTCAATTTCCCACATCTGTCTTTCAAGGTAAAGTAATGACATGCACTGGGAGACAAACTAGGACGGGCAGGTCCTGTTTCCTTTGCCTTCTCATACTCGTAGAGAACTTCTTCAGCTTTTACATAGACTGCTATTTTAGTGCTTATAACATTGCAACTTTTATTTTTTCCTTGTTTTAAAAATAGTTTATTTTTGTTTTATGTGTATGAGTATATTGCCTGCATGTATGTAAGTGTACCTCGGTTGTGCAATGCTGAGGCGGTTCTCTGTAACTGGAGTTATAGACGGCTGTTAGCCATCATGTGGGTACTGGGAATTGAACCAGGGTTCTCAGCACGAGGAGCCAGCCACTACTCTTAACTGCTGAGCCATCTCTCCAGGCCCTTCCTTGTTTTTTGTTTTGAGACATGTAATGTAGCCGAGGCTAGCCAAAAATCCATACTCTTGCTCCAGCCTCTTTAGTGTTGAGATTACAATGAATATTTTGGTCTTTTTTGAGCCAGGATCTCTCTGTAACCCCGGCTGGCCTGGAACTCACTGTGTAGATCAGGTTGGCTTTGATCAAAGAAATCTGCCTACTTCTGCCTCCCAAATGCTGGGATTAAAAGCATGTGCCACCATATGCCTGGTACATTTCCTTTTAAAAAATTTTTGTTATGTGTGCAATATGTATGTATTTACATGCACATGCCACAGCACACGTGAGAGGAAAACTTGGGGGGAATTGGTTCTCTCCTTCCATCTTTAGGTTGGTCCTCAGACTTGCAAAGTTAACACTTTTATCAGCTGAGCGACCTCACATGCCCCTCACTATTTTTCTTTTTATGACTGGATAATATTCTCAGATTTGGTAGAAGCTGGGGTGAGAGTAGAGCCAATCCCAGAAAATGTTCCTGACAAATGACGAGGTTCGATTTAATGGAGATTGTAATATGTCTGCATTCAGTTCAGAGTTCAGTGTGTGGTGTTGCCTGGCTTGGCAGCTTGTAGACCTGAGATTGGAAATCTGTGTGACCTCCACTGTGCCAGCAACTGCTGTGAATGCCAACCAATTATTAATGTGTTATCGTATAATGCATTGCATGGTGTGATGTCAGGGGGTCACAAGGCAATCTGTAGAACAAATCTAACCCGCGGACAGGTTTCATTTGACTTTCCAGAACTGGCTTACAAAGTGTTTACATTTAAAAAATCATTTTACATATTGGGCAAAATTCACAGAACAGAATGGCCTTTCAGAAATGCCCTGCTTGCTAGCTTCTAATGAAAACTCAGAAAACAGGCCATCTGGAGCCCATATTCTTCCATGGCGGCCTTGGCTGTTCCCCTTTGGATGTCTCTGCAGTCTGGTCTTCCACTGTCCCAGCTAATAAATTTAACAAAAGTTTTAATTGTGTATTTACACACAAAATGAAAGTTTCCTGTTTTTGCCTTAAAATTCAAAACTAAGTCCAGCTACATACAATGTATGGTCAGTTAAAGTTACAGTTTTTTATTTTGTTTTTTCCAGACGTAATTTCAAGTAGTTGTGGACAGCCCTGAATTCCTAATACTCTCTCCCCACCTTTTCAAGTGCTGAGACCACAGGCATTAGCTAACACGCCCAGTTAAAGCAAGAGATTTAAAACAATTTTTATTTTATGTGTATGAGTGTTTTTCCTGCATGTATGTAAGTGCACCCATGTCATGTAATGCCCACTGAGGCCAGAAGAGGTCATCTGATCCCCCAGAAATGGAGTTATAGACTGTTGTTCGCCACCATGTTGGTGCTTAGGAACCAAACTGGGGTCCTCTGCAAGAGCAGTCAGTGCTGTTAACCACTGAGCCATCTCTCTAGCCCCTAAAGCCACAGAGTTTTAACATTTTTTTTTCTTATTATCTGTGTGTGTATGTAGGTTTGTGTGCCTATGCACATGCATGTGGAGGCCAGAGGACATTGGGTGTCTTTCTGTATTGGTCTCTACTTTGTCCCCTTAAGACAAGGTCTCTTACTGAACCTGAGCTTGCCATTTCAACCAGGATAGCTAACTAGCTGACTATGAAGCATCTAGGACCTGCCTGTCTCGAACCGCCCCCCCCCCCACCAGCTAGGGTTACAGGTGGCAAAGCCAAGCCTGGCTTTTATGGTGGCACTGGGGATTCCAACTCGAGTCCTCATATTTGCATAGAAAGTACCCTTATCCACTGAACCCTTTCCCTAGCCCCCGACCATAGATTTTGAAACTTTATGCTATATATCCAGGCAAACAATTTAAGTTAGCTCAACAAAAAAGGTGAAGGGTACTAATTTTTACGGAAAATGTTATCAAATCCACTTTCTAAATCTATGGAAAAACTTTAATTAGTAAGTTGATACCTTCTTTCTCTCCATAGGCATAAATTTAACATAGGCTAATAAAAAGTACCTTATTTTGCCAGGCTAGGTGGCCCACGCCTGTAATTCTAGCACTTGGGAGGCAGAGGCAGGAAGATCAAGCATTTTAAGCAGAAAGTTGAGGCCACTCTGGGCTACATGAGACTCTGTTTCAAAAAATAAATAAGTAAATAAAAATAAACAAATAACCCCTTCCCCCCCAAAATAACCAAACACAAACAGGACAAGCCAAAACAAAGCAAGGAGGGTTTGGAGGATGTGGCTCAGTGATAGAGTGCTTGCCTAGCAAGTGTGAGGCCAGAGTTTAATCTTCAGTACCACACACAAAAAGTACTTTGATTTGTTATTACACGTTCTCATATGAATTCAGGTAATAGTGTGCGACATAATTGCAGACAGCATAAAAACACATACGCACTTGTGTATTTTGCTAATAACCCTCAATAAGAACCTGTAAAAGTTAGAGATAAATGAACCTAGTTCACTCATTTTAGTATTTTCATTTGTTTTGTATGAAGAATCTGGAAGAGATGGCAAGAGAATGATTAGAACAGAAAAGGAAATGCATACAGGGTCTCTACCACAGATTTAAAACCTTATCAGAGCTTTATCATCGCAATACTGTGCCACAAAAGCCTTAGTCTTGAATTTTTTATTAGTAATATACTGGGAAGACTAAAAAGTCCCTGACCTTAGTTTAAAAGCATCACATTCTGCAAAGAACCACAGGAACATATAAAAAACAGTCTCTTAAAAACAATGAGGAAGGCTTTTACATACTAATATGGACAGACTTCTTGATATACAGGAAATGAAACTGAAGCAGGCAAAAAGAAGGTGCAGAAGAATACTGACACAAAATTTATGCTTAAAAAGGGAGGACAGCAGGTATACCTCAGTGGTAGAATGCTTGCCCAGCACATGCAAGGATCTAGGTTCAATCTAGCACTGCCAAAAAAAGATGTGGGTAGAAATAAGTATCTCTGGAAAAATAAACTACAGTGGTTGCTTCTGATGATGAAGTGGGTGGCTGAAGGACAATGGATGCAGGAAGACTTCGTTACAATCTCATGGAACTCAGGCTGGTTCCAAACTCACCATGTAGCCAAGGATAAACTCCTGATCCTACTGCCTCTATCTCCAAGATGCTGTGATTATAAATGTACACCACCATGTCCACCTAAGTTTTGATCCATATGAATATATGTCTCCTCTAAAAATAAAATTATATTTCTAAAAGAAAGTTAAACCAACAGTGAAAACAAACTTACCAGATCTTGGGCTTCTTAGTGGGGGTCTACATAGGTTACTTAGAGGCTCTTCACTCACCACTGGTATAGGAAGAGAAAAATATGTGGAAAAGAATTAGTTTGCAATCGCCTTCATTTGGTCAAGAAAGGTTACAGTTTTTTATTATGCTAGAGAGCTAAAGACAAGTTTGCTCCAAGTGACAACATCTTGTGAACTACTAACAATAGTAAACTATAGAGATAAACTACCTACTAGGCAAAATTTATGGTCTTAGAGAAACTTGAAATTTTCTCAGTAGACCATATTGTACAAAAAGGGAATTGTAAATAAAATTATTCTAAATTGCTCAATTAATAGAGACATGATGGTATATGCCTATCATTCTAACACATGAGAAGTGGAGGCAGGGGGATCAATTTTACGCCATCCTCTGCCACACGGTTTGAGTGCCAGCCTAGACTACAGGAGACCTTGGCTCAATAAAAAACAATAACTAAATAATAGGTCATTCAATTAAGAATCAAAATCTGGGGCTGGAGATATAGTTTGCCCAGCATGTTCAAGGCCCTAGGCGCAATTTCAATACCAGGACTATCAAAGCGGGAGCTGGAGGAAAACTAAAATGTGTACTTTCATACATGTAGGCAATACATTCACACACATTAAAACAACAGACAACCTTGAACCAGGTACAATTTGTGATTCTTGATAAATGAACCCTTGATAAATCTGTACTTTAAAAAGTGGTGGGTGAGGAGAAAAACAAAAATAAACTATTCTTACCTGAAGTCTCTAATGTTCTGACAGTTTTCTTTGAGACTATTTGGCTTGTAACAGCTTGAGAAGATGGTTCATCCTCTATAGAACAGACAAGAGTTAAAATTCAAGTTAGGTGACCTGGGCCAGATTATGGCACAGAGTAAGCATATATAATGGTAATATTTATGCAAAGATTCAGGTAAGAAATTTCTCTAAAAGTGTTAATTAGGTTCACTAAAACTTAGGAATTAAACTAGTCAAAATTCCTGTTAAGATAGAGTATAATGTGGCTAGAGAAAGGGTTCATCAGTTAAAACTGTTTGCTTCTCTTTCAGAGGACTGTCTTTTAGAGACAGGGTCCCCTGTAGCCCAGGCTGGCCTTGAACTCAGCGATCTGCCTGCCTCTACCTCCAGAGTGCTGGGATTAAAGGCACCACCTGGCTTAAAAGGTGAATTTTTAAGCACATGGTTCTGTGGGAGTCAATAAAACGGAATACGTTTACACTGTCTCCCATATGCAAAGCATTGTCCCATACACAGAGAGAATTAAGGCAATTATCTAAGTTACCACCAGGCATACATGACAGGTTTTTTGTTTTCATGAAGTTAAAAGAAATACCCCTAACATAAATGTGGACTAAATTGTCTTCAGTTGTACACCCAGAAGAAATAGGCACATCTTTAACAAAAAGTTTTCATAATCAACAGGTCTCCAAGCATGTCAGGATTTTAAATACCAGCAGGTAAATCTGTAGCCTGTAATTGTGCTCTAGGCTGAAAGTTCCTCCTTTTTGTATGTATCCAGTGCCTACCACTAACTATGTCATCCCGTTGTGACTCAGACCCTCCTCATAGGTAAGGTCCCGGGGTGCCTTACAAGAAACTTTACCTGTGATTCAGTTGTATCTGCGAATAGGGTGTGAAAGGATTCCTTTAAGGAATTTGATTCACCTGTTACATGACTAAAACTATAGTAGACACTACCATTTTTTATTCGTTTAGAAGAAAACTTCCTAATTAACTGAGTTTTGTTTTGTCTGGATACTTTATTGACCTTGATTTGTCTAGTCACTTTAAGTGACAGTGACAGCTTCCAATCTGAGGGAAATTTTGACAGAGACCACCATACTTGATAATGACTACCCGAAGCTTACAAGACATTGGGGAGGTTCAGGTCAGGAAAACTGAGTCACCCACTTCAATATACGTATTTGGAGTTTAAGTCTCAAGTCAATTCACTATTCCTCGCAGCGCCCGCTTAAAAAATTTCTCCTCCTTTGCCCTATCTAGATAGGAAAAGAAAACGATTGGAAGGTTAGATTAGAACCGTGATGCTCAGGTGGGGACTTGTGGCCCCCAGAGTTAAAAAAGGAAACAGAAGTGGCTTCTCGCCCGCAGAGGGAAAGGAAATGAAACCGGGCCCAGAGTAATCTGGAGTCCGGGCTACCGCCTAACTCGCAAAAGCCTGCAGAAAGAGGCCACCCAGACTCCCCTAAATGGATGCTCAGGGATGGCTCCCTGGCTCCGCCAGGGTCACTTCGCACAACCATCTTTGCCCGGGTCAGCGCGTCCTTCCCTCCTGCGGGTCCAGATGGACTCCGAGCGGGAGTTGTGTGCCCAACGGGTCCCGGAGTCGCTGCTCCGGGGCGGGGACCGGCTTTAAGGAGGCGCTCCCCAAACCGCGTGCGCCTTGCCGCCCGCTGCGCGCGCTCCCGACCTGGAGCAGAGCCTATTACCTCCCCCGCCCTCACCTTCAGAAGAATGAGAGTCCCGTAACCCTCTCCTGGTCGTAACCGGAGACGGCTGTGGCTGAGGCTGCTGCAGACCAGCACTCCTTCGCGTCTTCATCTCCTCGGCTTCCTGGGGTCCCCGCTGCCTCCGCTGCCGAGACCGTAGGTAGTAAGCGCTTTCTTTCACTTCCTCTTTCGCGTAATCTGTCCGGAACTTTTCTGGCGGGGTTCGTTTTCCCACCGGAGACCTTTCTTTGGCCACCCGGGGCTCGAAGTCGCCGTACACTTCTGGCGGCTCCTCGGAAAACCTCACTTCCCGACGTCCCTGGCGCGACGGAGTTTCGTAGGCAGGCGCGTCACTGCTGCGGCCATTTTGAAGGGCTAGGCGGTGCCTACCCTCTCGGATGGGGGCCCTGGGCGTGACGTATATCCCCCATCCTTCTCCCAGCGGCTCCTCCCGCCGCCCCTCGCCCGCCATCGTTGTTGACGTATCTTTTAGTGGATCCCGGAGATGGCTTTTCGGCCCTTAGATTGTCCTGTCGATGGCAGCGGTGGCTTCTCGGGGCGTTGAAGCGGTCGTCGCAGTGGTCAGGGAGGCAGTTGAGAATCTACGCGGCCGCCGCCTGCGTCGTCGCTGATGTGCCGCAAACCAGCCTCTGGGCCCATGGTGTTTTCCTGAAGGCTGTGGGAGAGGCAGTGCCCAGGCTGGGTCAGCTGCTGCGGGTCACCCCCGCCTCCTGGCTGGAGGCACCAAAGAGGAGGAGAACGGGGCGTCGCTGTCCTCGGCCTTGAGGGAAGGGTGGGGGCGACTGTGGCAGGGCTGCTGGTCTGTGCCAAGTCCAGCTGCCGGTGGCCACTGTGGCCCGCACGCAGGAGGCGCAGGGAAGGGAGAGTTTCAGTCCCAGCTGTTGCGCAGTTACTATGCAACCTTTTTGATGGACTGCTCCTTTGGCCATTCCTTTTCAAGTGTCCCTAGTAGAAGAGCTGTTTTGGCAGGTGTCATCTCATGGCGAAAAGTCAGTTTTAAGCACGTTATGAAGGCGGTTACCCAGCTAAAAATTTGAAGCACGTATTGGTACTTTCAAATCTGTTTAGTCATACCCATTGAGTGGATTTCCTTTTCTGAAGCGTAGCCATAACCACCTGTTGCTGCTCTCACGGAAAAGTTCTCTTCCAGCGGCACAGTTGGGAAGACTTGGTGGAAGACAGTGCTGTGTGCACAGTATGAGAGGAACACAGACACCTTGATTAAAGGCAGCAGTGTAATTTGAGATCCTGTCTTTTTGTTGATTCTGGACTTGGTTTGCTGCGTTTTATTTAGAGTACCTAAATTCACAGAATAAGAACGCGTGATAAAAACTGTTCGTTTCAGCTCCTCATACCATTATTTACATGACTGTATAATCCACAAGTGTGTAACCAAATTTAGAGAAACTGAAGGAAATTCGGTTAACTTGGTGTAAAGTCAGAACTATTGAAAGTCTGCGCAGCGTGTCTCCAAGTAATAGGGTTTCAAACATGCTGGCATTTAGCTGTATCCCCAGCTCTGAAGGAATAAATTTTAAGTTTTTATTTGGGTACCAATTACAGTGATTCTGAAAAAAAAAAAAAGTGGTGTTTACTTTTTCCAACATTTTAAATAATGACCTTAAATTGTTGCTCTAACTTGCACAAATTTCAGTTTGTCACCAACACAAAAAACTAGAT